CCCCCAAAAAAAAAAACAAAAAAAAAACAAATGCACATGCATGGTTACAAAACATGCCCTGGCTTCATTTCTGCCTGTCTCCACTTACTCTCCCAAATGAATGAAACTGGACAGTCTTTATTGTAAAAGTTACATTAAAAGAACATGTTACTTCATTTATTTATTTTGAGACAGGGTCTCTCTATCACCCAGGCTGGAGTTTTCAAATTTTTGTTTCATGATTTATTCTTCCAGAAAACCTTTAGAATTACATTGCAAAATCCTCAAGAAATTCCACTGAGGTTTTTGGCCGGGTGCGGTGGCTCACACCTGTGATCCCAGAACTTTGGGAGGCCAAGGCAGGTGGATCACCTAAGGTCGGTAGTTTGAGACCAGCCTCGCTAACATGGTGAAACCCCATTTCTACTAAAAATACAAAAAAAATTAGCCAGGCGCAGTGGTGGGCGCCTGTAATACCAGTTACTTGGGAGGCTGAGGCAGGAGAATCGCCTGAACCTGGGAGGCAGAGGTTGCAGTGAGCCAAAACTGCGCCATCGCACTCTAGCATGGGCAAAAAGAGCAAAATTTTTTGTAAAAATAATGCCCAACAGACACAGACATCAATGTGGTAATCTGAAAAGCTATATAGGGCCAGGTGTAGTGGCTCATGCCTGTAATCCCAGCACTTTGGGAAGGTGAGGCAGGTGGACTGCTTGAGCCCAGGAGTTAAAGACCAGCCTGGACAACACAGCAAGACCCCATTTCAAAATAAAAAATATAGGGCCGGGCGCGGTGGCTCAAGCCTGTAATCCCAGCACTTTGGGAGGCCGAGGCGGGTGGATCACGAGGTCAAGAGATCGAGACCATCCTGGTCAACATGGTGAAACCCCGTCTCTACTAAAAATACAAAAAAAACATTAGCTGGGCATGGTGGTGCATGCCTGTAATCCCAGCTACTCAGGAGGCTGAGGCAGGAGAATTGCCTGAACCCAGGAGGTGGAGGTTGCGGTGGGCCGAGATCGCGCCATTGCACTCCAGTCTGGGTAACAAGAGCGAAAACTCCGTCTCAAAAAAAAATAAAAAATAAAATAAAAAATAAAAAATATATATTTTTAAAAATTACAATTAAAAAAAAAAGAAAGAAAGAAAATGAAAAGCTAAGCAAGCAAGAGCCTCACTTTGGTTTCGTACTTCCCTTAACCTCCTGCTCCCTGTTTGGACAATCCCTTCTCAAGAGAAATCAATGGGAGAAAAGGCCAGGTGGAGTAAATAAGAACAGTAATACAGGTGAAGGATCCCTAATCGAAAATGCCTGGGATGAGAAGTGTTTTGGATTTCAGTTTTTTTTTTTTCAGATTTTGAAATATTTGCATGATATTTACTGATTGAACATCCCTAACCCCAAAATCTGCAAAGCTCCAATACGCATCGCCTCTGAGCAGCATATCCACGTTCAAAAGGTTTCAGATTCTGAAGCATTTCGGATTTTCAGATTAAGGATGCTTAACCTGTATCTTCAGCCAGCTTCTCTTACGCAACAACAAATACCCAGTAGAAAAGTTTACAAAGAATTTGATCATGCAAAACTTATGAAACCTATGTTTAGCCAAAAACGAATTTAAGACCATATACCTATGTCAATTCCTCTTCGGAGAGAACTTTTGTCAGAGTCCTGGTGACCAATCAGATCTTCTACCCAGTGAATATAGTTGAGTCTCAAGGGAACTGTGGGAATTAGTCTCTCCAGCGGAATATCAATAGAAAGTCCAAAATCTTCCCTTAGGAGAGTACAAGTCAGAGCTCGGACTGCTTCAGGGTCTTTAAAATTAAGGCTGAGGAGTAGAGAAAAAGAAGTAAAACTGACAGTAAGATTCACTATGTTGTACAAGCTCTGTGGCAAACAGGCAATATCAAATGCCCATCTGAATTTCCTAGAGAGATCACACATAAATAGTTACGTAGAGCATGCATCCCAGTGGCATATATACGTGAGTGTTTAACACAGTCACAGCATATGAAAAGCAGTATAATCCTCCACCAAAAACACTGCATATCCACATACGGAGCACAGAGATTACGAATGACTCGGTTCCAATTCCTGTCTCCTTGTCTCCTTACTGTGTGATTTTTGACAAGTTATTTACCTCTAGGAGACTGTTTCCTTGGCTGTAAAATGAGGATAACAGTACCAATATCACAATGCTATTGGGAGATAACCTGAAAAGTACCTAGCATAATGTCTGGTGCACAGTAACTGTTTTACAAACGCTAGCTATTTTTACTGTTACCATTGACATCATTTGACATTAGCATTCCTTGAAAATCATACTTAAAAGTGGAAAGAAAGCATTATAAAAATGTTTAATAATGAACACAGGATAAGATAAATGTGACAAATATTACAGACATCAAATTTTAAATGTAACTATTTCTTAAAGCTTTATGAAATAGTATATACTATAAAATTCACCTGTAAGCATACAACTGAATAATTGTTCGTATATTAACAGAGTTGTGCAACCATCACCACAACCCACTTTTAGAACACTCCTATCACCCCAAAAAGGAGAACTCATGACCATTTGCAAGTTTTCCTTCATTTCCAACTTTAGCCCAAGGCAACCATTGATGTACTTTCTGTCTTTGTAGATTTGCCTTTCCTGGACATTTTAACTAACTGAAATCTTAACAAGGTCTTTTGGTCACTTAAGATAAGTTTGTGAGGTTCATCCATTTTATAACTTGTCAGTATTTCACTTCTTCTTATGGGCGAATACTATTCCACAGTAAGAATAACTACATTTTGTTTATCCAGTCACCAGTTCCTGAACCTCTGGGTTGTTGCTACTTTTTGACTATGACAAACAAAGCTGCTATGAACATTTGCATACAAGTCTCTGTGTGGACATACATTTTCACTGCTCTTGGGCAGACAGGAATGGATCATTTGATATACCTGTATTTAACTTTTTAAGAAACTTATACCAATATAACTGTGTTGATGTCAAAATACTGCTAAACTGAAAATATTAAAAAAGAAAACCAACAGACCCTATTTGTCAACAGAGCAGGATCTTTTTTTGGTTTTTGTGATTTTTTTTTTTTTTTTTTTTTTTGGAAACAAGTCCTCACTGTCTCCCAGACTGGAATGCATGGTATGATCATGGCTCACTGCATCCTCAACCTCCCAGGTTCAAGTGACCCTCCTCCTGCCTCAGCCCCCCAAATAGCTGGGACTACAGCTGTATGCCACTACACTTGGCTTTTATTTTTTGTAGAGACAGGGGCCCACCTCATTACATTGCCTCAGCTGGTCTTGAACTCCTGGCCTCATGTAATCGTCCTGCCTCGACCTAAGTGTTGGGATTACAGGCGTGAACCACTTGCACCTGGCCAACAGAGCATTTTGAAGAAAGCAGAAAGTCAGTAGATGGACTATGAAAGGTAGGAGGTTTTTGTTGTTGTTGTTGTTCTTTTGTCTATTTTTTAGACAGAGTCTCGCTCTGTTACCCAGGCTGGAGTGCAGTGGTGCAATCTCGGCTCACTGCAACTTCCGCCTCCCGGGTTCAAGCAATTCTCCTCCCTCAGCCTCCCAAGTAGCTGGGACTACAGGCTCACGCCACCATGCCTGGCTAATTTTTTGTATTTTTTTTTAGTAGAGATGGGGTTTCAGCATGCTGGCAAGGCTGGTCTCAAACTTCTGACCTCGTGATCTGCCCACCTTGGCCTCCCAAAGTGCTGGGATTACAGGTGTCAGCCACTGAGCCTGATCGGTAGGAGGAGTTTTGAAACTACTTAGAATTCTGGCCTTTCGGTGTCTAGTCAGACAACGACACATCCTCAAATAGCTGCTGGTCTGCACCATCTTGTTTTCTGCTACCTTCCTGGTCATCAAATGACAAATCATTGGAAAAATTCAATGCCCATCTGGATGCCTGAGTGCCAAAACAGAAGGAAGAGTGCTGTATCCACCTAGCAACCATGAAAACTTCCGGCAGGTACCATCAACAAAGCTCTCTCCACTACCCGCAGCAAAAGTGTTGTAGTATGGAAGTTAGGAGACCTGGACTCTATTTTGGCTCTGCAATTAGTCATGGACTTATGTCATTTCAGTTCTTAGGTCTCAGTTTCTCCATCTGCAAAGGTAAGGGATTGGCCAGGCACAGTGATTCATGCCTGTAATCCCCACACTTTGGGAGGCCAAGGCGGGCAGATCACCTGAGGTCAGGAGTTCGAGACCAGCCTGGCGAACATAGTGAAACTCCATCTCTACTAAAAATACAAGAAATTAGCTGGGCGTGGTGGTGGGCGCCTGTAATCCCAGCTACTCCAGAGGCTGAGGCAGGAGAATCGCTTGAACCCAGGAGCCAAAGGTTGTAGTGAGTGGAGATTGTGCCACTGCACTCCAGTGTGGGCGACAGTGTGAGACTCTGTCTCAAAAAACAGTAACAAAACCACAAACACACTTTTCATAGGAAAAGACCTTGCAAAAAGATGGATGATGGGCAGAATCAAATTTCACAAACATAGATTCGTTATCTATACAAAAATTGCATTCTATACCTGAATATGATTTCTTGTGACCTCTAGGAATGCTTCAAGGTGCTAATTTATAGGGAGGAAAACGGAAGGGATGAAGAATGAAACTTTAATATAGTCTACAGCAAACAGAAATAGGATGACTGTAGTGAACTCTGAATAGACACAGCGGGAGCCTGGAAGCAGTGACACTCACATGCTATGAACATAGCTGGTGCTCCAGTCCTAGGTTTCTAAATAGTACTCCCCATTAAAAGGAATCAGAGTTCCCTGGGTATATGGTTATTCTAGAATTGGAAAGGGAAAGTGCAAGATGAACCTGAAACATTTTATTGCATTAGAAGTCGGGACATGCTAAAAGGAATATAGGAACAAATAAAAAGTACAATGGGAACCAGCTGGATGGGGCTCCCATTGGCCACATCTAAGTCAATGTGAATGAAGACCGCTAACAAGGGATGATAGCCGTTAAAATAAAATACATGAGGCCATACTGAAATGTAGAAGGAATGAAGGAGTTAGAAAATTACATTTGGCAATCACCATGCTAATAACTGATTCAATTAAGAATTATCAATGGATGCTAAAAATAATGAGTAAGTTTGTTGAAAACCAGGATATTGGGCAGGGCACGGTGGCTCATACGTGTAATCCCAACAGTTTGGGATGCCAAGGCAGACGGATCACTAGAGGTCAGGAGTTCAAGACCAGCCTGGCCAACATGGTGAAACCCTATCTTTACTAAAAAATACAAAAATTAGCCAAGCATGGTGGTACGCATGCCTTTAGTCCCAGCTAGTAGGGAGGCTGAGCTGGGAGAATTGTTTGAACCTGGGAGGCAGAGTTGCAGTGAGCGGAGATCAAGCTACTGCACTCCTGTCTGGACAACAGAGTGAGACCTTGTCTCAAAAAAAAAAAAAAAAAAAACCACGCTGGGCACAGTGGCTCACGTCTGTAATCCCAACACTTTGGGAGGCCAAGGCAGATGGATCACTTGAGGTCAAGAGATCAAGACCATCCTGGACAACATGGTGAAACCCCATCTCTACTAAAAATACAAAAATGTGCTAGGTATGGTGGCACACGCCTGTAGTCCCAGCTACTTGGGAAGCTAAGGCAAGAGAATTGCTTGAACCTGGAAGGCGGAGGTTGCAGTGAGCCAAAAAAGAAACAACAACAAACCCCCAGGATATTTACATAGTCACAAAGTGCTTCCCCACAAATTATCAATTGCCTTTGATAGTGATATCAAATATCAGATTATGAACAAACAAAATAGTAACAGTACAATGAAGAAATCTGACAGATACCCCCTTTAAGGAAGTGACTGAAGTTAATACTAGTAATTATGAAACAAACTGATATTATACGCTTCAATTACACAGAGAAGGAGAGAAAGGGATACAGAAAGCAAGACTGAGAAAAGCAGGCAAAATTAAACTCAATTCAGGAATGAGACAGTGGTCGTGGTCGTACGACTGACAACATACGAAAAACCACTGAGTTGTAAGAGTGAATTTTATAGTATGGGAACTACATCTCAATAAACAAATGAAATGGAAAGGAGCAAGAAGTTTTAAAAAGTAAAGAAAAAGTAGTAAACATAAGAGAGGTTGGCCGGGCGCGGTGGCTCACGCCTGTAATCCCAGCACTTTGGGAGGCCGAGGTGGGTGGATCACAAGGTCAAGAGATCGAGACCATCCTGGTCAACATGGTGAAACCCCGTCTCTACTAAAACTACAAAAAATTAGCTGGGCATGGTGGTGTGTGCCTGTAATCCCAGCTACTCAGGAGGCTGAGGCAGGAGAATTGCCTGAACCCAGGAGGCGGAGGTTGCGGTGAGCCGAGGTCGCGCCATTGCACTCCAGCCTGGGTAACAAGAGCGAAACTCCATCTCAAAAAAAAAAAAAAAAAAAAAAAAGAGAGGTCAATAATGAAGTCCCCCTTATATATAAGTGGAGATTCTGAATAAGAGAGCCAAAGGATTAGAATAAAGAAATACTCAAAGATACGATTCAAGATAACTCTCCAGAAATAGAAGGCTCACTATGTTCCTAGGAAAAGATACAGAGTTAGCAATACCAACACATATCCTAGAAAAATTACCAGACTTTAAGGCTCATGAGAAAAAAAATCCTTTAGATACCTAAGCAAATAAGTTAAACAATCTATTTTGGGGTTAGGGACCCAGCAGGGCAAATGAGGCTGACTTTAGATTTCCAAACAGTTCCATTCAATAGTAGAAGACAAAAGAACAGACTACAACGCCCTTAGAGGAAAAAAAGTGTGATAT